AAGGGAAGACACACAAATACCCCTGCCACACACTGGTAGGCTTATAAAGCCTCTCTGCAGGGACACATAATAGCTTATGTAGCCTTAGGAAGAAGAAAATGGAAAAACAAAATTAAAATACTGGAAAATAAGATTGCCTAAGCATTGCCAGAAAACTGACTAAATAAAACTGTTGAAAAACAAACCATAACCCTTTTAGAACTAGCAAATAGGATATTGTGTTTGATAGCCAAATGACTGAGTACTTTATTCACAGGGTCCAATAACAAACTGGATTATTACAATGAGGGCAGAACTGGCCCGGAGTCTTACACAGGAGAGAAGCCAGGGCTGAAGGAATTTCCTACTTAGCCTGTTAACCAATAAGCCAAGCCTGTGAAAGACTTACGTTCCCATTATTGTAAATTATCACAACTAAAAATATTCCTTCTCAGCCTCGTGATTAACTTTGTTAATTTTCTAGCCAACATGTGCAAAATTGTTATTCAGTTTTCCAGACCTCTGAAGAAATAAGGCATTACGTTACAGTCAGAGCTCTGTATGGTGGCAAAATTTGTCCTGATTCAAATTATTTCTTAATCACTAACATGAAAGATATGTGCCAAAAATTAAAGAATGGCTGTACAGCAGTAGCTTGTGGTTCGGCTGGGAAAACGCTGGCCAGCCATCACATCTGAGCGTGACACCAAGGGTTCAGAGGAGATGGGGGCACATTCCCCAGGCGTGCCGTGACCTAGCGTTGCTCAGAGCCGCTGATGCAGGCGGAGGGGTTTTTGCTTTTACAGTTGAACTGTTGTTTATGTAAAATTTGGCTAAATTATCGGTAAAATAGTACCCAAAGCTCAATCAAATTCGATACTTGATTGGTCAATATTTGCACTCGAAGATGTGTCGAGTGTTTAAAATTTGCCTGGTACTGTTAGCATAAATAATTAAAATGTTTTATTAGTAGACTAGAAGAAAATTTCATATTCTGTTGCGATGGATTTCCTTTTCAGTAAAACATGGCTTATCAAAGCAAAAATGGATCTCAGGTTTTTAGTCTTCAAAAAAAGCCTTTTTCTCCTTGTTACTGTAGAGGAAAGGAAGCTTTAGTCATGACTTTAAATAAAAGAAAAAGCTGACACATCAGGTAGATGAAATTTCATCTAGACTGCATGAATTCTTGGAAATATAAGAGAGATCCTAATTGTGCTCCAAGATTCTACTTACTGCACGTAAATGAAAATTACCCTCTGGACAAAACAAGTAATCCAGGGTACTGTGATTGTTTTGGCGGTTGTTGTTATTGATTGTTTAGAAAAAAGCCAGGGGGGAGGGCAAGAGACAAATCCCAATAAACTAGAAAGCAGCATATCTTCCACCCCATTGCACATTGATTTCTGACTTCAGAGACGTTTTCCATTGGAAGAAAGATTTATGCAAAGTGAAAAGAAATATATTATTTACGAGCAGAGTATGATAAACTGTTCACTTCCTCCTCACAACTTTTTCTACATGAAGTCGGGGTTTCAGCTTGCAATAAAAACATCTCCCTGGGAAATACTCGGTCTATAAAATAGATTAAAATCCTGATGCCGGCTGTGTCTTATTATGGCAATAGTTGTTTTGCCACTTTTTTGAACAACATGAACTAAGCAGCAAAGCTGAAGACAGCAAAGGATCCTGTAGACATGAATTTAAAAAATGAAATTCAGATGAATTTTAAAAATAAATTTAAATTACCTTTCTACTTTCCTAATCTTGAGGTTCTGTAGATTGGTTTAATGCTAAGAGTCTGTTTTGCAAACAGCTTCTGTCAGAGGCCGTGTTCTGACCAGAAGTACCTTATGGAAGGGTCATGGCCAAATTAAAAGCAGCCTTAAGTTCACCTCCTGCTCCTGCTGCCAGAGGAACCCGGGCAGGACCAGGGACCTGGTACCGCAGCACATTTGTCGCACTGCTCGAGGTCCCCTTCCCTGAGGACCCCAGGGACCCGTGAGCCGTCTGGAGCTCATGGGCCCATGCACACTTCTTATGGGAGGCACGTGGGCACAGCCTTTGCGTTTCTGTCTTTATTGGGATCTCCATAGTGTTGTATTTGTAACATTGAGTTTCCCCAGACTATCTCAGTTACAGTGGTATCAGGTTTAGGTGTGAAGTGTAACCTGTAGAGAGCAAGCAAATATATTTTAGGTAAAACTTTTCTAAAGCAAATGTTGATGTGGATTCAGATGATATGTGTAATTTAAATATGTGTTAGCATTTTTTAAAAAGTATGCAGAGGGAAAGAAAAATTAATTTTTTAAGGCTGTGATGTTCTGTCAATGAAAACAGAAGTAGAGGTTTTTGCATTGTTTGCTGGGTTGACATCAAGAGGAGTTTTCATCTCTGCACAATTGCTTTTATAGATCCGGAGACTCAACGGCCAGAATATGGAATCTCAATGAAAACAGCAACAGCGGTTCCACTCAACTAGTTTTGAGGCACTGCATAAGAGAAGGAGGACACGATGTCCCCAGCAATAAGGATGTGACTTCATTGGACTGGAATGTAAGCTAACTTCTAAGACTGTGCATGGTTTTTAACTGTCTAAATTTAATTTGGAGGCAATTACAGCTGCTGTTCCGTATCTTTTATATCTGAGGTGACCAGAAGCTCTGTCCTAACCTACTGACCTCTTGTTTCAAATACTCATAATAGGATGAACTTTCCCCTGTACGCTGTAATTTTCCAGGACTGTTGCCATCTTCAAGCTTAAGAATGATGTATTTATATCTCTATTTTAGGAACATGGGTAAAAATAAACTTAGCTAACTTTAAGAATGAAGATTAAACAAGCAATCTGTGTAGTAATGGAGCCTGATTAATAATGTATTTGCATATCATAGTCACTTTATTTTGGCACGTAAGGAGAGATAAGCACCCACGAAGCTTTTTCTGAGGTTGGACTATCAAGACCCTCTCTCGTTTGAATTATGTTGTGCATAGCAAAACATGTTCACATTATTGTCTTTGTCTTGGTAGGAGCATGTGCAGTCATTCTCTCTTTACCTACCCACCTTCTGCGTGCAACTGTATTGCCTGATCCCTTTTTTACTTTCATCCTGCAAAACCTTCTATCTTAGATAGCATGGTCCTGAACAGAGAAGACTGAAGTGAGCAGAGAGGACAGGTATTGTTAAGAATCCCCAGTGTCTGGGCAATGTCTTTGGGCAGCTTTAAGGCTGCTTCTTGTCTCCTTTCTGCCACCAAGCATTGTAAAAAGAACTTACAAGACCTTGCAGGAACCTTAATTAATTTTGAGATCACTTGCATTCTGTCTGTTTTGCTGATATTAATACAGACAGGGTGATCACATTAGTCTTGTTTTTGTCGGAAAACAGATTAAAAATTAAGTACCAGAAAGGATTCTCAGCAGTTACATACAGTCTCAGTTGCTGGCCAGAGACCAAGATTCGATTAATCTTTACTGCAATATTACTGTCCTTCAGGTGAGCTAGGTGCTTCACAAAAGTAAAAGATAAGGCCACTGCACAGATCAGCTTCCCCTATGTATTTTATATTTGACACAATGCATGAAGTTGGTGAATAGTACAGAAAGCAGAGGTAGGTTAACAAAGCAAATAAAGATAAAACCCAAGAATGTTCATTACTTGTTTCCTGTGAATGTCATGGTGAAGAAAAATAGTCAGGAAAAACTGAATTGAGGAGTAGGAAAAGAGTAATGGAAAGAGGAAAACAGGCAAAGGTGCAGAACAGTTGTGAGAAAAGTTGTCCAAAACATATAGGGCATGCTCTAGTATTTCCTGTAGTAGTTCCGTATCTTTCCAGACTTCATTGATCACTGATACTTCACTTGCATTGTGCTAGTACTTAATGTAAGGAAATGTTCAGAATTTAAACACTTGAAGTGCTTCCAACTTACTTTGAGTTTTCTAAAGAATGTGGATTGACACCAACAAATTTGGATAAATTGTACCTCTGGTCCCTGAGCTTTCCTTCCCTTTTTTCTCTTTGCTCTTATCACCATTGCTCTCATCAGTGGTTCAGATAAGTGTGTATCACAATGAAGTTGGCTTAGGTTTTGATATTTTTCCCCCTACATCATTGTGCCTTTGAGTTAAATCTACAACTGCTCTGACTCACTGTTTTTGGAGGGTTGGAGTGGACATATGTTTTAAAGGATTATTTTATGATTTTCCTGATTTTCTATTCATGATACTAGAAATGCCATCTGCCTTTATTGTTTATTTAGAACCACAATACTAACCATATTTCACTGTGAAATGTTCGCACTGGTGATGTTAAATCGGTTCTTTCCTGGCTTATGTGATTTATGGTATAATAAGAAAGTTTATTTCTAGAGGCCATATTCAGATCCTTTGGTACCAAGGGGTAGGATTCATCTCCCTTTAGATTTAACCATCTAAACTAGTTAACTAGACTCCCTCTAAATCAGCAGAAAGAGAGACACGTGCCTTCGTGCTGATCTGGGCAGAGTCTAAAGCAAATGGGATCATGAATTGCCCTCTAGAGGTGGGTGATGCTGTTAGGTATAGAGGAAGACAAGGTTACTCTCTTAAACTAACTCCTAACTTCTGGATGTCTGGATGTAAATGGGGTGAATCTCACTTCTAACCCAGGGGCTGAAATGTTCAAAGGCTAAACGCCCAGCTCCCACAGTACCCGTCTCACCAAACTGCAGAGTGAAGTTCCTTTTTAATTATTCTCATTCTGGCTCAGTAACTCTAGCATCGTTGGCTGCACAGCAGATACCCTTCGGTGAAGGGCTCCCTCCTACAGAATACATGTAATTTGCTGATTACAATTCCTGGGCTTTTTTTCTCCTAATTGGGACCCACGAATCTAACTTTTCTCAGGCTATCCGTCATGGTACAGTGCCTCTGAGCATGTGTGGGGGTCTGGGTTCAGACAAAGTACGGTTGGACTTGATGATCTTTGAGGTCTCTTCCAACCATAATGATTCTGTGATTCTAAGTAAGACGCAACTTCTTGGTGGTAGATGGCACTCGAAGTGTTAACTGTGAGTGTAGGTGGCTTAGGTGTTTAAATCCTTCTTTCAAGTATAGATGCCTGAATTTCACTGAACTGGGATTTAGTCAGGATTTAGATGATCTGTTGGTGCTGTATAGTCTCTTTATGCCTAAGAAGTAGTATCTGTTTGTTATCTGGAAGAATCCCATAGAATTTGTTCCACCTTGTTTTCTTTTTCTAATCCTTTTGATTAAATGACTCTTATCTGATGGTGTAGCCCAGTATTTCACAGTATGTTAGAGGGTTTTATTTCCTCTTTGCTATCTGTAGTAATAAGCTTTGGTTTAAATCATAGTATAATCTGTCTCGATGTGTGGACTCAGATTTCCCATAAATCACAATGCACAAACCTTAAAAAAGAAAGAAAAGAAAAAGGTTGGTTGAAACTGATTTCATCTAGTATTGACCTTTGCCATATATCTATAAATCCCAACAGAGTGACGGAACACTATTGGCTACAGGCTCGTATGATGGTTTTGCAAGAATATGGACAGAAGATGGTAAGTCAGACAACGTTTATTGCTGTTAAGCATCGAACAGCAGTGAACTGTAATTTGGTTACTTTGTAAACAAATCGTAATATTAACCTTTTCTTTATTCCAGGTAACCTTGCAAGCACATTAGGTCAACATAAAGGTCCAATATTTGCCCTGAAATGGAACAAAAAGGGGAATTATATTTTAAGTGCTGGTGTTGATAAAGTGAGTTTTAAAAATACATTATTCTAACATATAAATGTGCTGACTCAGTGAGCTTGTGCTGCTGAATTCCATAAGATTATTTTCTTCTCCTCTAGGCATCCTGGAGAGTTTACTTTTCTTTAATATGTTTTAGTGCATGTTGATTACATTTTTGAGCCTTCATAAATATGTACTATTTTTGTGTAAAAGATTTTACTTAAAAAAAACAACTCCATTTGCCCCCTGTGTAAAATTGCATCTTAAATGTGTCTCAGTTGAGGAAAGAACTGCTTCCAGTCCTTATGTTTGTAGTTTTATCAACTAACTGTTTCCAGGAAGGAAGTGATCTTAAAGATACTGAATCTTTTAGCTCATTTAATTATTGAAACACTTCTATTTGAATAAAATCTATATGGCTTTCTGTGCAAATATGCAAAAAAAAAAGGTAGTTCTGAATTCAAAATCAAGCAAAACATTGTAGTTACAGCTGAGTGCATATTAGAGATTAAAATGAACAGATGACTGATGATGAACACAAATCCATTAAAACTGAAACTGGAAAGTACACGGCATTCGTCTTGCTGAACTTTCAATGTCTAAAAATTAGATGTGTATGTCAACCTTGGTTTCCTTTATAAAATTTGGAGAGAAAAATGGCACTTCCGAGTGATAGGTTGCATGGCCTGTGTTACGGTGAGATGCACTGACAGTGCTTCTCTCTAGCAACTGACAGAGGGAATCTGGGGAAACTAGCTCAGGCTTGTACATCTGATTTGTAGGCTAGATGAATCCCTATATTTTCACATACTTGTGAACATGGAAACTAAGCCAGTATTAAAAGGAATAAAACTAATATTCAGCTACACTTGTCTCCCAATGGTAGTTCCAGTATTCTGGCAAACTTACATTCCCAATAACAGCAGTGATTCTTTACATGATCCATTATCAGCGAGATGAGGCATCCTTAATTTATTTTCTGGAAGCATATGCTCCCAATAAATAGACAGTTCACTCAAAAGGTGGTATTGAGCTCTCCAGGGGAACTGCTTACATGTGCTGTGAGTATGGATTAAACCTGTAGCAAGCAAATGACACTTTAGTCTGTCCCACCACAGTGGCAAGAAGTGATACGTACTCTGCTGCTAGATAAACATTTCACTTGGTGGTTTAATTGTTAGAAATGTAGTATCATGTAGCTTTGGAACAGAATTCAACTTGCATCTTTGAAAAGGGGAAAATGTCTTCTTTGAAGAAGATAACTGAAACAGCTGTAACAAAATGCTTATTAAAAATGTGTAGTGCTGTCTTCTAGCATTATTCAGAAGAGAATATGCCCATTTTTAGTAGTTATATTGCTTCCTCTGTAGGCGTGATACTTCTTTATCTACACTTAGGTTATTATTCTGTGATATTTGGAAGTGATTCTGTTTTTTCAGCTGTTCAACACACAAGGCTCTCTGCAGTCAATAATTTTATCAATCCGTCTTTTAGAATTGCTCCTCAGTGAGAGTACTGTCTGTTTTCTCTGAGCTGAACAGTCACTAATCTTTTTTCTCCCCGTTCCTTTGGATGCAGACAACAATAATTTGGGATGCTCACACAGGAGAAGCTAAACAGCAGTTTCCTTTCCATTCAGGTAATTTCTGCCTAACTCTTGTAAGTGAAATGAAATGCAGTTTTTAATTTTGTCAATGTAATTTATCCTTTTGTTAAAACCTATCTGCCTGAGAGAAGTTTGAACCAACTTTTTTGTGTTTTAACTATCCTAAGTATCTTGGCTTGTAGGTTTAATCTTTTTTCAGAAAGATGGGGTTCTGTGAGAATCAGCTTTGAAAGTCAAACTGATCCTAAGAGAGGATTTATAGACCAGCCATGTCTGCCTAGCTGAATGATTCTATCGTTATCTATGTTGCTTGAATGGTACCAAGTGGTGATTTATGAAGAGACTTTTTGGTGGAGGTGTCTGGGATCTCTTTCACTCTTTCTGCTCCTGTTGCAACGAAGCTGACTTGAGACAGAGGCAGGTGGATCTCTCATGCAGCTTGCATTCACCACTGCAAGCATGAAGGTCCCCAGGAATTTCTTAGCTTTTAATTTTGACTTGAAGTTCTTCAGTATGTGCTTTCTCTGATTATCAGAAGTCAATTGCCAACCTTGGGTTTCAAAACTTTGCTGTACCAAAACCTTACTTGGATGGTCGTTTGTAGATCTGATCTGCTTCAAAAAGACAGGAGATGTCACAGACACTAAGTAATCTTGAGTAACAGGCAATCATTGACGTAATCTTAAATTCACCCGAGACCAGACTTGTAAGATGATGACTGAATTCATGATCCAAACTGGGTAAGTTTTTGCAGTGAAGAATTTTTAAGGGACATAGTCAATCTGAGTTTAAAACCACCAAAACGTTCCAGATTCTAATGCCAAAAATGTTCATCTTCCTGTGTGTTCACTGTAACTAATCCATTTTTAAATACAGCAGGCTTTCACAAGGTGCTTAATGGTGTTTAAAAACATGTATTTTGCTGCTAATTTTAAAGCCTTAATTTGTGCATGCTTTTCAACTCAGCTTCTAGTTGTTCTTATTCTCACATTTTCACAGATGTTATTAATATGCAGTAGCAATTGAAATGGTTATTGAACAGAAGACAAAAAGTATGTCCACGCACACAGCAGATCCATACTCTGCATTTTTGTCACTCATCTTCTCGCTCATTAATGCAACTGTCAGTTTGGAGGAGTCAGTGGCTGCTGACAGATTTTCTCACTGTGGCATTTAGTTATCTGTCATAACTGTTCCATAAAAGCAAACTTTGCACTGTATAACGGTGTAGTTAATGAGACTCTTAAGCCTTCTGATCCCTAACTATTGATCTAAGCAGTTGTGGATTCAGAATTTGGTTGCCCCTTCAGAATCATGTTCACTGATGTGCAGCTGTCTTAGCAGCGATGTGCATGAAGGACATATCACTCCATTCCCCTTTTAGCAAGTTGAAAACTTAACTGCATCTTCCAATGCAATATGCCAATGTCCATCTGCATTAATGGAATTTTTAAAGAAATCTTATGCACGCTGTTTGTCGTTGGACCGTAAGACACAACTGAAGTGGAGACGTGGAGACACTTTTTTTTTTTTCATTATTTCAAATATGATTTCATAGGGAAGTAAAGCAGTTTGTTATTAAGGAAATTGTTGATAGGCCAAAAGCATATGTTCTACAAAAAGTCCCTTAAAATCAGCTTGAGCCTTTGTCCTCACATAAATCTAAAGCCACAAAGACCTCACCTTGTCCTCTTTGCCTCACTTATTCCCCAGAACAAATTAACAGCAAATTCCTTTCCATATCTGGAATCTGAAAACCTTGCCTACACAAGGATTAAAGATGGCATTTTAACAATTAAAAGTCTAGTCTAGACAGAGTACAGTTCCTTTAACACATACTTGTGTGGCGTACCTTTTTGCATACTTCTTTGAAGTCTGGAGATAGTTGGCCTGGGAATAACATGATTGTTTTTTACTCTCGGCTGCTTTACAACCACTTGTTTGGTTTACAGCCATATGAACAAAACTGTCATCTTAAAATACATAAGGAAGACCTTTGTCTAAGTCTTGAAGGCCTCTATATCGTTGTTGTTCCCACGTAACTTCAAGGTTTTAAGGTCAAAATAGGTATGTATGTGGATAAGTAGTTTCTAGGGTTTCATTACTCTTTGCAAAACTATGAGTCATTATAGGGCATTTGATCAAAATATATATGCACAAAGTTTATGTCTTTAAAATGGAGTGAAATAATCCAGTTTTGACACCTGGTGATAGATGTGGACTCAAGATCCTGCATGCAGGAACAAATTGATTAAGTGATACCGTAAGAGGTATTTGTATGACCTAGTTTTAGACATCCAAGTGCTCTGCCTGCAGACGCTTAACTATCCTCTTCTCAGCTTCTAATCCTGAATCACACCTAAATTTGTTCAGAAAAAGCTTAAATTAACTGGTACTTATTGTAACACTTTTATTGTGTTGGGTTTTATTTCAGCTTCATTTCTTAAAGATTTGTTGCTGCTTTTATTAGATGACATTCTAATTGTTTTTATACAATTGGCTAGTATCCTGTGGGTTTGGAGACACTTTGGCAGTTCGATTACTTGCATCAAAAAACACGTTTGGTTGTTTTTTCCAGACCATTTTATGTAGGTACTTATCCAGTAAACATATGATTAAATACACCAATAAATGAATCAGTATTAATTATCAACACTCTGTGATTAAAATTATGCCGCAGTGCAAATCCAGTGCTTTAAGGGTGCCAATAGCTCTCAGAAAATTACTTTTCAGCTCATACATATCATACTAGATATTAGCCCTGAAGGCATATTGCGATTAATGAAGATAGATTTTTGTTTGCTCTGAAAGATTACTACAAAGCTTGCAGCATAAAAAGAAAGACAAACAGTCAGTTAAAGAAATAAAATCCTTTACTGTTTCCTGATCCCCATTCGTGTTCATTGGAAAACTCAGAAGTAACCTGCCTTCCTCACACAAATTTCCTTTATATTTCTGCAGTGTCGAAATTCCTTTCCTGTCACACAGAATTATTGAGCTTTTTCATTAATATTCTAAAAAATACTTGTGTATATGAAACAATTTCAGCCCTCCGTTCTCATTTAGAGAGCTACCTGATGATTTGGAAGGTGACATGGATCAATCTCGTTTTTCAGTTCATAAAAATTACAGCAGGAAAAAGCACATTTAAATCACATTTAAATATAATAAGCTTGGCAGAACAGATCTCTTTTCACCTCTGTATTACAAAAGTATTTTTCGGAACATACTTGAATAAGGCATTTCTAGGTTTCATTTTAATGATAAACTTGCATTGTATTGTTGCCAGAAAGAGATTCGACTTTGTTTCCCCATGTGCTGGTCTCATTCTGATGCACTTGCTTCTCACAGGAGGGTGCTGAGAATGAAGATTTCTAGATTATAGCAAGTCTTATGTCATCCTCTGGAGGGTAGCTGAACTCTTTCCTGGGCAAAAAAAACAAAACTGCGTCGTAGAAACACAAGCAAGCTCTGTGTCAGGATTTCCTTCTTACTCCTGTACATGCTTTTAGTCTGCAGAGACATGCTGTAAAAGGTTTTTTTCATGTTTTTTCCACAATTTTTGCAAAGTGTGTGTGTTGCACACAGGCAGTAGTTACATGTTCATGTGCTATCTGTGTCCAAAGTTTCATTAGTTCCGTCCTTGTTAATGCCAAACCCTCTACAGAAACTCTTCCTCTTGTTTCGGATCAGGTTGGTCAATGTACCTATCTTAAATCAGTCCCCAACCAAATTAAACTGAACATAGGTATTATTAATCGATGTGTCTGCACAGAAGGATAGGTTTGTGTCGGTGGTTGTATGAAGCTAGCGCAAAGGAAAATGGCCACCTGCTTCTTCTCCCTCCCATGTCTTGTGTCTGGCATTCACAGGAACATTTTTTCTAACCCAGCTGAAGTTATCTGTGTTTTTTCTGGATTAGTTTTCATCCAGGCTCTTTGCTGAACTGGCTTACAGAGGAATGAATGGTAGAAATGGCCCAAGAGATGTGTGTAGCTGGGAGCGGGGAGGGTGGAGGTAGATTGTTTTGCCCCCTCTCGTGTAACTTAACCCAAAGGTTCTTATAAACAGATGCCACGCAAAGCATCCAGATTACCCACTGCAAGAGAAAAAATAATTTGTGCCCTTGAGACAGTCCCTGTCATCCCTGTGGTAGGTGACAGGCCAAGAACTAGCTTTCAGTCTGTTCGATCCAGACAGGTGACAGGAGGAAAATTATTTGAGATAGCTGTTTTCTTTGCCGTGTTCCCTGATGTTCGTTCCGTGGTTTGTACTTCACAGCTCCTGCTCTGGATGTAGACTGGCAGAACAACACTACGTTTGCCTCCTGCAGCACTGACATGTGCATTCATGTATGCAGACTTGGCTGTGATCGTCCCGTTAAAACCTTTCAAGGACACACAGTAAGTTTAAGAAGACCAAAATGTTAGCGATGAAGTCACAGCAGCATGTTACAATGATGGCGGATGATGTGTTTGCAGGGTGTGTTCTAGCACCAAAGGTGTTAGATCCCATTGCTTCCCTAAAACCATATTCCTTGGGAGTGATTCACCGCCTGTGAGAAGGGATAAACTGTTCTAAATCACCGCAGGAGGCCAAACCTGCAGCTTAAACAGTGAGACTATTTATATGTAGCATGAGCTGCAGACTAAGGGCACATTAATAAATACGATTTTGTTTTCCACTGGCTTAATTTCCTTTAGTAAATGAGAACTATGAATAAGGAGAGAACAATTTACCTCCAGCCATTGTTCAGTTTTAGAATCAATTTAATCTAATAAGATATATTGAGGATGTATTTCCCCCCTCTTTTCCTGGTGATATTTAATGACTGTCAAAGACTAGTTTTTCTAGCTTTCATTCATGAGAAAACTGCTATCATATACTGACCTGTAATTTAGATACTAACTTCCAGAACTTGCTGTCTCCCCACTGAGGAAAAATTGTGCATTTGGAGATCTTTATCTAGTCAATGGTTAAACTGATATTAAACTGATATTTCACGTCTGGTTGCACATTCCTGCCAACAGACTGGTGCTTTTGTGATTATATGAAATGCACCATTTTACACATGATCCAAATTTTTACTTCAAATATCTGTACAGTTCCTTTTAATTATCACTGAAACATGTGAAATGGATAAAACAAAATTAAATATTTTCCAGGATTATTTTCACTGAGACCCTGAGCCAATTTACATTTTTAACAACAATCTTTCCCTTTTTATGAAATGTTTTTTTTCTCCATCTGTATGACCCTCAAAAAAAGCACAGAAAACCTGGTGATTACCAAGGGGATACACTAGGCTTAGTTAATTACAGAGTACTAGAAAGACTGATAGAGAAAGCATCATGAACTATTCCATATTGCATCCTGGATTTCATTTGCACATATACCTCTCTTCAGAGAGACCAGCATTGTTGTAAAGCTGCAATACTAAGGATTATAAACTCCATAAAACTTTACACCCCACCAGTATTTTCTGTTGAAAATTTGTATCTCCGAGATCTACAGAATATTAACCGAAGAAATATCTCCATTTTAAAAAGAAGTTAATGCTGTATCATCAATCTGTCTGGTTTAAGGACTTATTTAAATCCTAGCAGATGAAGAAAGGGTATGAGAGACTTTGTGCCAGAGCACGTATCAGAAGGCTGATTGTGTCTATTGTTCACAAACACAAAATGGTTACCGTTCCTAAATGACGCTGAAATAACGTGTTACAGAAGCTTTTTGTTCAGCCATGAAGCAACCAGGGCTGTAGTTTGTGGTTGAACTTGTTGCATGTGCGAGCCTTGAGAGCCCTCTGCTGCGTGCCCAGGACAGTGCAGGTAACCGGAATATTTCCTTAATAAAATCACTCTTTTTATTTCAGAACGAGGTTAATGCAATCAAATGGGACCCATCTGGCATGCTACTAGCGTCTTGCTCCGATGATATGACATTAAAGGTAATATAATTTCCATTTCTGCTGTTCCAAAAGTACAGACAAAAATTATGCCTGTTTTTTAATCTTCTCCGGGACGATGGCACTGTGTGACTTAAAACTCTGCGTGAACAACAGTTTCATTTTGTCCCATATTTCTTAAAACCAATCTGAAAGACTGAACACAGAGAAGCAGCCCCTGGGAAAACTGAAATATCCTATCCAAATAAGTGTTATGTGACTGATATGTCCCTGTCACGGAATAGTTGTAGTTTACATAAACACATATACATACACCTGCTTGCCTGTCATCAGAAGCACAGTCCCTATGCTAAGAAGCAGTCTATTGGTTACACTTTGATAAGAATATAAAAATAAAGAGTTTTCTTTCCCTTTGGGCTCTTTTTTCTGCATAATTTCATTAGAGCTGTTTGAAAGGTTTTTTTTCTTTTTTTAATAGCCTTGAACTAAGCAATGGGACACAACATATATACTCAGAGCCCACCAAAAATCTGAATTGCTCTCTGAAGATGCCTATCTTTATCCATTCACTGTAGGTGAAGCCTAAGGCAGCTGCGCCGCTGGTGTACATGCTGCTGTTAGGTGCCTGGAATTAGGTGGAAAGAATCTGGATTCTGGCTCGCAGGCAGCGTGGGCTGCTTTACCAGCACACCTAGGCCCTTGCACTGTACCGGCAGAATATTGCTAGTGCAGGGGCAGTCTGAGCTTGCAGAAATACTTTTCACAATAGAACTTTTCCAGCCCAAACTCCTCTCCTTCTCCTTTCCCAACCACATTGAATGAAGGCTATGTTTGTGTAGGAATAGCTGTATGTTGTAACAGCAAAGCCCTCCTGCTAGGCTGTTGGTTTATGCTGGTTCCTTAAGCAAAGCAAACAATCCCAGGAAAGATTTACTTTTGTGGATAAAATTGTACAAGTAATACAGTATTCTTGTAGTATAGTTGTGTTATTAAGGCTTATCCCTCTTTCCACTGCTGATGGACCCAGCTGAATCAAGAGATGTTTCTAGCCTGCACGCAGCCTGTGCGTGAGAACGGAAACCGAGAGAGCAGCAGAACTTGTAGAGGAGAGCTAAGTGAATGTCAGCGTTATGAATGTTTCCTCTTCATAGGCAGCCTGACTTCTGCTCAGTTCTATTCTGTCTTTGCCACATACCCACTGGGGTTTTCATCACTCTGGATTCTACATGTCTTATTGTGGACTACTCACAGAACTGGATATATACAGAAAACAGGGCTAGAAGAGACTCAAAGAGAGCACCTGGTCTGGCATGCTGCCACAAAGCCCTATTGTAGTAACCATTATTACTCTGCTTAAACATCCTGACCCAGTAGTAGCACATTTTTTTTGGTGCCCAGTTGCATGCTGTGTTTTAAAAACCACTGTGGTTCAGTGTTGTTGGTACCAGTTCAAATTCCTGACCGCTGAATTTGGCGCAAGAGCTAATGGTTTGCTATCCCCGCCTTGCCTGTTTTTAAAAAACCTTCAGTGATGGAGACTGCAAATGCTCTTCAGGCAATTATTATTATTCTTCTTTTTGCTTTGGAAACCGAGCCTTTCTGGCTTCTTTTTATTCTCTTTTTTTGGGGGAGTTCTTGATATTTTCCTACAACTTCTTGGAATGTGTTGCCCGTTAGCCATAGAACATGGCTAAGCTTTCTGTAACATTTCCAAAAGCAGACTCGGGTATTCTGATGAAAATTCAGCATAAAAACCCATCTTTTCCCTCATAGTGCACACTTAGAACAAGTGAGTTAAATCATTACTCATTTTTGGTATCTCTGTGAAACTGATTGACTAAATTTGAGTTATTTTCCCTGCTGTAAACTAACTTCAGCTTATTTTCTCAGTTAGCTGAAGAAAAGAAGTACTAAATTACCTGTCGTCTCTGTTGAGCATATTCTTTATCTCATGCTGAAGTGTTTGGCCGTGTAACACTGCATAAATAGCTGATCGTCTTCTGTCGTCTGTGCTGTTAAAAACATGAGGAAAACAAATGGAGTTTGGGAGGAAAAGGAGAATTTTACTGGCATAATAGAAAATTACTAGGTTCTAAGCAGTTATTGAAACTTTCTTTTCATTCTTTAAAATGACTGCTGTTGAAATGTGTGACTTGAAGTTTAAGTTAAACCTCTCTAAATAAAGTAGCTTAACTTCTGTATGAAAATGCAGTTACAGGCTATGGGCAGTACAGCAACTATTTAGTTCTTCTTATCTGTTGAATAAATACTATTAAATGTGCAGCTCTTTCCCCTGACGGGGTTATTCTAACATGTGTGCCAAACTACTGCATTAATAAGTTAAGTTATGTTTATGTGCTCACATGTGTGTCGAGATCTTAAGTAAACAAATGGTAAGAATAACATAGACCTGAAAAAATTCAGCTGAGAAGAGATTAGTAACATTGCTATTTTTCCCCTTCTTAATTACTCTGACTTAGATTTGGAGTATGAAGCAAGATACCTGTGTACATGATCTTCAGGCTCACAGCAAAGAGATTTATACTATCAAATGGAGTCCTACAGGACCAGGCACCAGCAACCCAAACTCCAACATCATGTTAGCAAGGTAAAAAATAGATCTCTTTCTGTTGCCTACCAAGGAGGAGAATCGTCTTTCTGACATGTAACCCTACTGTCACCTTCCTGTCAGTCTCCCTGCAGACAATTCCAGTAAAAAGTACCTGAGTTCATAAATCAGGGGGATGGATACAAAGGGAAAGGAATCTCATTTGAAAAAGGAAGAAGAAAAAGAGGGAAAATGGAGCCATGTGATATTTAACTTGTTGGCTGCCTCGATAAAAGGATTGTAAACTTGGAATTGCACCTTCACATCCAGCATCCCGTTGTTGTGAATGAAAGTGCTGAATGAGGCAGGTGGCAGCCCATTCAGCTGGTGGGAATATGTTCTAACCAGGGTCACACAGCTCACCTGGGCAGATATTGACAATTTTTATAGCCTTGTTACCTAACAGCGAAAAGTTTGGATAATTTGTAAAATTCCACTTGAGAATCTGTTAGAATTTTTTTTTTTGAGTTTAGGAAATATGTCTACTTGTAGAATGCCAATTGATGGTAGTACCATGGGATTGTCAAAGCAGTTCATGGTGTATTCAGTTTGGGGAGGAGTTGTATCAAATCTGTTTTATTTATTTGACTCCTTAGTCTGGGAGTGGACAGGGAAGAACTTCACTTTCTTAGAGTTGTTCTTTTAGTATGATATTTAATGCCAATTATTTCCTTTGCCTTTCCCTAAGCCCACAGGTTGGTATTCAGATGGCATGTAGCAAAAAACAACACTGAAACAAAGTGAAAAGAAGCGTAGTTCTAGAGAGTTACAGAATGCTGATGCATTAAATAATGCAAATCCATTAGGAATAAGACCTCTCTGGAACCATTTATCCTATTAATGACAATATATATTTGCCGTTCCTGAATAATAGCAGGTAGAATCTCAAAAGGAGGGAGCTTGGTCCTCTTAGGGCTAGTGATCTGATCCTATGTACAGCGCACCTGGATAAACTCAAAGGGCCCTCATACAAGAATTCAGTTCTGTAGATGCAGTTCTTGTCAGAAAAAACGTAAAGGCTGTAGTGCATATTAGCTTTTCTGTTTGAAACATTATTTCTTGCTTAGCCAAGAATAAACAACTGTGGTATTCTCTTAAAACATTTACAGTATCAAACTACAACTTGATTAACACCTGAATTAAGACATGCTTGTGTTTGAATGCTTCTTGCAGTGCTTCGTTTGATTCCACTGTTCGGCTGTGGGACGTTGACCGAGGAGTCTGCATCCATACGTTAACAAAACATCAAGAGCCTGTCTACAGTGTAGCTTTTAGTCCTGATGGAAAATACCTAGCCAGTGGGTCCTTTGACAAATGTGTCCATATATGGAATACTCAGGTACTGTTTTGCTTCATGGAAGCACATCTGGTTTAGATGACACATTAATAGCAAAGGCTTAAATGGAAAATGTATGTACCTCTGTAGCGTATGGCCTGCCAGCCAAGGTGAACCTGAATGTATTGACTGATGCAAATCCCAGCATAACAGTTGAGTCACTCAGGTGGAGTGAGGTGACTGTCCAGAACATTTCTGTTCAGGCTTCTTTGTATGCTAAAACACCTAGCGTACATGAAAATAGGTACGTTTCGTTGTGCCGTCACCTTTGTGAAGCAGAGGTGTGGATTGATTCTTAGAAAGAAGGGATACTTGTGTTTAGTAACAAGCTGAGTTCAGTTGTGAGTCTGACGCACGTGGCTTGTACTTTGTGGTGAGGGGATGATAGATACAAAGGGTGTACAGACTGGGGATATTCTGGAGAAAAGCGGGACATTGTAGTCCCACGGATTTAATTTTGGATACTGATGCCTCACAGCCTGAATTAACAACAAACTTTAGAGAAGAGCCCCGGGCTGAACTCTCCAGCCCTTTACTGTTACAGAGTTGACAAAAACAGATGTCTAAGAGTTCTACTGTAAATTGCTTTCTGAAGGCACCTGTTTCTCTTCATTATCAAAGACCAATTCCCTAACTTCAGCACCTTATGGAGATGACCATAGCCCGGTGATACGAATAGCTCCCCTTCGCCACCACCCTCTTCTTTTTAATGTAGCGCCACGCGACAGAGAAAAAGAAGGGGATCTTCTGTATCAAACGTTTGCATGCTATTTTGCTTTGTAGAGTGGAACTCTAGTACATAGCTACCGAGGCACCGGGGGCATCTTTGAAGTCTGCTGGAATGCTAGAGGAGACAAAGTGGGAGCAAGCGCATCAGACGGATCGGTAAGGAGCTTTACACATTGTAAATGGTGGGTGGTATCTTGCTTTACACATTGTAAATGGTGACACGCTCTTCTGGAGCGTGTCAACAAAAAACATCCATGCCGTATCGCCTCCTGTGAACAGAGCTGAAGGTGTAGGCAGCTGAGACGTCCATAAGTAGCTCTGTGCAGTATATTAAAAACGTCCTGCTTTGAAAGGTTTTGAATACTAGGAGGTGGTGTTCCTATTAGAAACAAAGAATGCTTGTGAAATCGGTGAATGTTGCTGAAGATGGGAATGACTTTTAAACGCATATTAGATAAGAACAACAGTAGAGTTGCTTCTAACATCATTTATCTCATCTGTGAGATCACAGCAGTCAACTCTCTAATAAACAGTTGTCCTGGGGCTTTCTGAGTTTTATCCCACAGAAGTTTACCCTTGAATAGTACCTAAAGGAAGAATTTTTCAACATGATGCCCAAAGATTTCATCACATGGTGCTAAAGGAGAAATATTGCCGTAAAGATACTGATTATTCATTACTATTTTTGCTGTTAATGTTACTTTTAAAAAATTTCAACTGTAGCATGATCAGCTTGTGAAGGACGCACAGGTGTTATAACACACTCTACAGATTTTGAAATAACTCTCCTATGTGGCTGGCTGGCCTAACTACTTTAGAGCAGTATTTTTCAACTGGTTTTAACCAAGGGTACACCTACGACAAGATTCAGTTGCTTGAGCTTAGTTGTGCTATTTGACTGTATTTAGGCAACTAATAGAGCCCATAGTCTTATCTGGGATGTACCACCAAAATGTTTGTTTGAAATCCAGTGAACGTCCAGCTAAATGTTAAGTGTATGGTTTTCACTTGGGTTTTCTCCCACGTCGGTTTGTTCCCTGACTCGTGTGCATGTGAACGGGTACCTGAGCCAGGCTGATTTGAATCTGGGGACTATAACATACAGCTGGCGGATCAGTCCGTGTACGGGGCCGTATAGGAATAGGACTTCCACATCACCTTCAGAAATGGTTTTTAATGCTGAGTCTTTTCTCTCCAGGTTTGTGTTCTAGATCTGCGGAAGTAAAAGTGAAATGTTTTAGAGGAAATTTCAAATGGACCAGCAGTGAATGTGTGGGGAGAAGCACTCTTCAAAACTATTCTTAACAGCTCCAGAACTGTACGAACTTGAACAAAGTTAGAGTGTACCATGAAACCAACTCTCCCTGGCCACAGGTGTCTAGTATTTTGTCCGTAACCTTCATCAAGGAGTAAAAACACAGTCACTTCAGAGGGGGAGGGAATGGTTTCCACCTGGAACATTCAGCCTTGGAAGCATGAAGCCACCAGCTAGGCATTGCACTGTTTGGTTTGCGTCTGAGAACTTGCTCTGATGGCTGGGAAAAAAAAGCTGTGCCAAAAAAAATTAATAAAAAAAAAAAAAAAAAGAAAAATGCTGTGATAAACCAAAAGGGAAAAAAAATCCTCCTCCATGCGGTGTTGTATTTTTTCCTTCCAATTTGGACACTACAGTTGCTCTCCCAAAGGACGTTCAAAGACCAGTTTGTACTGATGAAATGCTCAACTTTGTAATCACAACACTTTCTATTTTCTAGACTACTTTTTTTGTTCAGTGGTTTTTCTATCAGCTGGAATATTACAGCCTGGAGGATCCCAGGCTTAGGATGAAACTTTTGTTTTCCTTTTATTTCTCCCTTCCACTCCCAACTTCGCCTTCCTTTTTTTCCTCCTCTTTCTTCTTGCCCTTTTTTTTTTTTATTTTTTTCCCTGTATGCCCATAGTAGATGCAGCCAGGTGGACATGACAATGAAAATTTTTGACAGACTGCTTCTCCTCTCTTTTCTCTCTTCCTTTTCCTTTCTCTCTCTCCGTTTAAAAGAAAAAAAAATCCTCCATGCTTCAGATCTTAGCGTCTCAAGGGCACTTTCAGCAAATTGTGTAATAAGTGCTTTATATAAGAATGCAGTGCTGGGGAAGATTTTTACAGGAGAAAGATGACTTTTAACAGAAAGAACCCAGTGTATTTTTGGAAAAAAAATATTTTTTATGTTAAACAGTTTTAAAAGCCTAAAATGGCCACCAAATGTAGACCAGTTGTGTAATTCAAGCAAAAAGAATGACACAGAGTCCAAGGAACATGAAAGGTGCAGTATCCTTTTTCTCTTCTCTCTCAGAAAGTGCTGTAAGAAAACATGCCATTTGATACAATAAATGCCAGTCATTGACTGAGAGTCCTCTTCCAGCAGCCAGCCATTTATAGAGTCTCGTTTCATTTTTGTGACTGACTGATGATGTACACTTACTAAAAGGGATTTGTAGGTCTGAGGCTATAAATATCGCGTTCATTTTCTTGAGTCCATGTTTTCGTTTCTCCTTGGTAACCAGGGGAAGACGCTTGGTCTATCTTCTGTCCTCTAGAGATAGTTCACGTTTCATACAGAACATGGGTTTGGCTGCCCACGGCCTTGCTGAGCGGTGCTGCCCTCCCCTATTCATCCCGCTCAACTCTTTCTATTCCAGTAAGTCAGTGGGATTTTACCACGGACTTAATGAGACCAGTTGAACCCCGACACATTGACTGCATCTGTTGCTGTTGAAGAATGGCCTCCTGCCAAGGTCCTGTCCATCCGCGGTCAGTGCACACCTAGAAGCCGTCTTTTCCCTTGCATCTGGCAGTCTGCGGTGCCTGGCCCAAGGAAAGCTCCGGGGCTGCGCTCGGAGCCTCGCTGTCTGCCCGGGCACCTTTCGCCTTCAGGGTGTCCTCAGTGCGGTGCTCAGAAGACAACCTAGAACTCTCCGTTAGGTGAGGAAATGATAAAGGGTATATAACTTATATCTCAACATATATACCGCTATGAAGTGATAGTGGGTGAGATGATCGGAATGACAAGACTTCCAAAGCACCATTTACCCACTTGCAACAAGATTTCCCTACTGCAAGCTGGATACCTGCCGGGATGCCTGCTGAAGCTGGCATTATTTGAAGAGCACGCGATGGATGCCAAGAAGGATGCGTAGGCAGAGTTTACTGAAAGTGCTGTAAGCGATAAGGCAACCTTGGGGTGGTTGGCAGCCGTTATTTAGACAAATCCTCAGAACTGGCCGAGTCAAACAGACGTCCTCTCTAGCTCACAGGCCAGGCTAGGATTTGTAGGAGAGAGAAAAACAACCCGTACCTTCCCGGAGTACCTTCCTGCCCAAAGGTGCTATTTCTCTAACACAGGATCTGCCCTTGGGTTTGACCACAGCTGCCAAAGTGGTGATGTGATCTGAGCAAAACCAAAACCAGAGCCCTAGTCCTGAACTGGTGGTGTAAGACCTGCCAAGCATCGTGGCGTCATCATGGAATCCGTATGTCATTTTTCCTGCTGTGTTTTCCTCTCTTTGTGCTTGCATCTGTGCAGTATCTTAGGCCTTCCAGTGGAACGAGGCACTGCCAGCTTCAGCTGCATTTTTTAAAGATACATATTTGGAAAGGAGAAAAGAATGAAACAAAACAACTGCTGAAAGGATTACTCACTCCTGAGGTGAAAACAGTTATGTGGGGGTTTGGTTAATGACAGTTAGGCTTCTTTGTAATTTATATCAAAGAATTGGACACTGGAAGGTGTCAAGGATTATTTTCAGTGTTAAATGTGTTTATGTGTTGGTTTTAGTTTTCTGCTCCAAGAGTATGGGCTGTAGATGATCAAGTGGCAGTTTTGCACTGTTTTATAACCACCACGTGTACCTACTGCTTTAAAGTCAGTGCTTTAAAAAAAAAAAAAGAGTATTTGTTCGAAGAGATACTTGAATTTTAATACAAAGGTCTAATGTGGTTTTATAAAGCATGGTTGGGTCAGTGATTTGATTACAGTCATTGCGTGTACAGTTAACTTCCTAAGCTGCTTTTGGGTGGCGTTTCTGAGAATAAGACGCAGAGGATCGAGGTGTGCAGGGAGCGGAGGGCAGCACGGATGGGGCCCTGCCTTACCTCCGTCCCTTGACTGACGCCTGAATAGGCCAGACGTTGGGATTCGAAGAGATGAGGTTGCTCAATCCGAGTTCATCGAGGCCGCACGGCTGGTTGGCGACATAGCCCGTGTTTCGTGGTTGTTCCTGGGACAGCTACTGTAGATAATTCGACGGAGTTGTATCTCAGCCTCTTTTCTTTTTCCTTTTTTTAAACTGTCAGAACACCACCTTTTCTCTGCCTGCCTGCACGGAGGTAAGAAGCCAAGAGGAACAAAATTTGAAATCAGTTGGTTTGCAAAGCCTGCCTGGGAGAGAGGCTGCTGGTCCAGAGAGTTTTCTGTACAGACCATCAGATCTGAAAGCAACGTATGTGAGAAGCTAAGAAAATTCACCTTTCTTCCCCTCCCCAAGATCCTCAAGACTGGAAAATCATCGAAAATACTGTAGCAGAGATTTTTCAGCTAAAACGAGGGCAGCTGTTAAGGAAGGCAGAAGATGTAGTTGTAAAGGTTAATCTTAGCCTAAGGAGCTGGTTTCTTTAGGAGGTGGGCGATGGGGAGAGAGAGCTTTTTCCAGGCTGTAGTACAACATGGACGACCAAGCCTGGACCTGCAGATCTGCCCTTGTGGGACCTCTCGCTTTCCCCCACCCCTGCAGCGGCAGCCCTCAGCCCCTGGTGCCGGTGGACTTTGGGTTGTTTCATACGATATTTTTTGATAGTTCTGTTTATAGTTCTTTGTAACAGAAGAGAAATTGAAAAACAAGTGACCAAACAGAATTGTGAAACCATCCAGAGACTTACTGGATTTTTATAATGGCTGGCTGTCTGGAACTGGCCTTGAAGTGAAAAAAAAAAAAAAACCTGGCTTCTGAAAAACCACTTGACTCCATGGGTTAGAAGGATACTGACTCTTTTATGTAGAAAACACTGGGTCCCTTATGGGGCACTAAAGGGCCTGACTTACAGGGTTATACACACATTAACCCCATGCTACATCTTAGAAATTTCCTTTTAATTTGTTTAAAAAAAAAAGAAAAAAATAGCTAATTTTAGAGCCAAGTGAAGTGCACTTTGTCAAATGTAAGGGTCTGCTTTGTTTTTTGGGTTTCTTTTTCTTTTTCCCTTTTTAATTTTTCCTCCTTTTTTTCCTCCTTTTGCCTTTTTAAAAGATGTGGTTCTTTGTCAATTGCAGAAATGTTCTTTCAGCCACTCACTGAAATTCTGAATTCTGGCTTCTGCAGTTTTTATTGTCTGTGTCAGACTTGCAGCCAGACTTGGTTCTCATTTCAGCATTTCCCAGGTTCTGTTGAAACAACATCAACCCTTATTTTGTTTCTCCCCCACCCACACTTTCTTCAAATTCACCTTGTGTATTGTAGCTCATTTGTTTTAAGGAGAGAATCAACAGATCATATTCAGTGTCTTGAATAAATTGCTATATTTTGATATTAGAGAATTCTGTGCTTGTTGTTCCTTATTCTTTTCTGGCTGTTTTGCATCCTGCGCTTAAGAGCTGTGGTTGGGCGACTGAAGTTGTAACCTGGTGTCACGACCTAGAGGGTTACTGGGCCCGTGGGTGTATAAAGATCGCAGCCGTGGGTCCGTAGGATTTTGTAATACACAAGGGCACAGAGGCTTTGTCCTCTGATTTTCTTTATTACAGATTACCACAAATACCGCACAGATCACCATTAGCAAGTATACCTATCATTAAGAAAGCAAACAGATGTACATGTATGTCAAGCTATTGCAAAGTATTATCCGCAAGCAATAGTATAGCAACGATCAATAATATAGCAGCAATTATTTATAGCAACAATCAATTATAGCAGCACCCAATAAGAGCAGCAATGAAGTATACAAACGGGTAATATTACAGGTTACAACGGTTATCACTAGTGAAGCAAACTTTTCAATAACGTAGCAGCAGATACAGTTCTGATCGGTTATGTCTGTGGATAAATGCGGCACCCAGGAGATCTGAGAGATCTCGGAGGGTGGCATTTATCCAGCCCAGCCGTGGGCTCAGTGGGGGAACGGCAACACAACTGGCAGAGTCAGGGCAAAGACGATCCATGGCACCGAGTCTGGGGTCAGCCAGGCGTCCCCAGCGAGGGTCCAAGGTCTTGTAGAAGGTCACGCAGACTTGTTTTGGAAAGGGGCAAGGATGTGTTGCGCGGGAAGAAAGAGAGAAGCTCCAGTTTGGATAGGAAGTCATTTTTATATCAGAGAGACATAAGAGGGGGTAGCACAGCACCCCCTCGAGCAGCCAAGGGATGCTGTTAATTTCTGGGTTTCACCTGGAACAGCCAACAGGTGATGATTTCTGTTCTCAGACCAATTATTATTTTTTCAGACTTTTTCTGTTCTTGCAGTTAGAACAGCCAACGGCAGTTACCAATTCTTGCTCTCTCGGGATGTTTTCCCCTTTTTCCAGATTATTTTTCAGCTTTTCAGATGATAATGTACCATTACAGTT